CAACTGATCAAGAGCCAACTGGCAAGAGTAAACGGGACAAATGCCCACTTTTTTCAAAAAAGTGGAGTGTTGTGTGGAGGAACATGCGGGGGGTGAGGGGAGATGCCAGTCTTGTGCAGGGGGGAGGCTGGGCTGGAAGAGGTGTAAGGAAGGGTTCCACTGTGGGGGGGTTCGGCAGGGTTTGAGCAACCAGCAACAGCCTCAAGTGGGGGTCGAACAGGGTTTGAGTGACCAGCGACAACCTTGAGTGGGGGCCTGGCAGGGTTTGAGTGACCCGTGAGTAGTGACAGCCTCGAGCGGATGTGACGGGGGGAGCCCAGCAGGGTTCAAATGATCACTGACAGCCTCGAGTGGGGGGCCAGCAGCTGGGGCCAGCCCCGCGGGGATGGGAGGTTGGGGCCAGCCCCGTGGGGAGGGGGCACTGGCACCAGCCCCAGAGAGGCGGGGCTTGGGCCAGCCCCATATGATGTCCCATTTTTCCTTTGGGAAATCTGGTCACCCTATCGTGCTAGCATGCTAAAAATAGCAATGTGACAGTGGAGGCTTGGGCTAGCCACTGGAGTACATATCCAGGGGGTTGGGAGGGATTGTACTCAGGCAACTAGCCTGAGCCACTGCCAATGCAGCTGTGACTACGCTGCTAGTTTTAGGCATTAGCTGTTGTGTAGACATACTCTTAGACAGAGAGCTTCTTCGGCCTCTGGCCAACTCAAGATTGGTGATGCAGCAAGGTGGTTTAAACCCACCTCAAGCCCCGTACCATCCTCCCCCATCAGTGCTGAAAGTAAACTCAAGACACCTGAGGATTGAGCTCCTTGGCTGCAATTCAAAAACCCATTCTCTGATGTCTTGTACTTGCATTTATTTGTATTGATTTCAGGCTGTCTTCTGCCAATTTGATCTCTTCTTCATTGATTTGCTTGCTTGTTTGTCTCACTTTTTCAATTGACCTCATTGTCACTCCCTTGGTGGCTCTTTAAGGTAGTGCACAGCAGTTTGAATCTCTCTAGTCTGTTTTCAGCAAAGTCAGAGAGTAATTACTGTGCTAAAACCACAAATCAGACATAGGAGTTTGTTTCCTCTTTAATTCCCATTATAAGCAGGACTTTTTATTTTTGCTGATGAGCAGTATATTCAAATAGTTTTAAAAGACCTTATTCATGTTGTGACAATGGAATTATCATTCCTAATCTATGAGTTACCCTTGAGAAAGGAATACATAGGGCTCTTCTAGGGTGACCAGATGTCCCGATTTTATAGGGATAGTCCCAATATTCAGGGCTTTTGTCTTACATAGGTGCCTATTACCTTCTACCCCCATTTTGATTTTTCACACTCGCTATCTGGTCACCCTAGGCTCTTCAGATTACATCAGGACAGCAATTAAATCTATACACATCCACAGTTGTCTTCCAGAAACATTTGGATTTAAGGCATTGCTTTGAGTTAATCATATTATAACACGTTAGTCAGATTGTATTATAAATTGTTGTATATGTACTGTCTTGCTCAGAACTGTGTGATCAACATCACCTAATAGGACACAATACAGAGCATATGAGTAGTTAAAGCAGTAAAAATTAATTTTTAAAAGCAATTATTTGTTTAATCACATTTCATTGAGAAGTGTCTCCAACGGAGTTGTATTTTAAGGATTTCAAAGCACAAAAGACGTTTGTCTTGAACAATCATTTAACTGAATCTTTATCCATAACAACCAGTTCACTGTGATCTGCTCTCTCTAGTTAAATCAGTATTGAAAATAGCAGCTTATTTGATTGAGGGTTTGGGTTTCGTGGGGGGAGGTTGTTTTGGTGGTTTTTGCATTTCTTTCCATTAATCTGCTTCTCAATACTCAAAGATCTATATTTGTCTGGTAATTTTAAGAAGAGTATTTAGTACAGGAAGAGCCTGGGGCCCTTATCAAATTTGGAAAGACACTTGCAAAAAAGGGACCAATCCTATATCCCTTGTCTACTGAAAACTTCCATTGGCACTGAACATCAAAGTGTGGTCCTGCCCCCAGCGGCTTCATGTGGAGTTTTGAGCTCACAAGTGCTACTAACTGTCTGAGGGCTTGTCTACACTGGACAGTTGTTCTACTTTACCTATACCAGTATAGTTAGTGTGGTACAACCTCTTCAGTGTGAATGCAGTTATAAAGGTGCTTTATACTAATATAGTTATTCCCATATGAGAAGGGGAATATCTATATTAGTAGAAGACCAGGTCTGCTCTTGAAAGGCTTTTCCCATATAGCTATACTGGTATAATATACTGGCAAAGCCTCCTTGTGTGGATGCGCCTACACGAGCAAAAATGCACTTTCCAGACCCCTCCTGAGTGAAACAAGCTATACCAGCAAATGCACAGTTTTGCGGGGATAAATGGGTCTACACTATGGGCTTTTGCTGGCGCAAATCTGCCAGTCACCAGTCACACCCACATCACACCCCTCACTGAAATAGCTATCCAGGCAGAAGTTTGTAATGTTGACCTTGTCTAAGTCATGTTAATACAAGTATAGCTAGGGCTTTTACTGGTATAAGTATTTCAGTGAAAAAAAATCACAGCTTTTACCAACATAGTTATACCAGTAAAACTATTAAATGTAGACCAAACCCAACTAACATAAACACTCCTTTCTGTTCAGCTCTGGGACAAGTCAGCAATTTGTATTTTTCAACAAAAATTTCAAAATTTGATGCTTAGTTCAAAAGAGTTATTAGCATCTTTAAAACTTATTCAAAGTATCCATTACGTATTATACAATCAAATGTACTACAAACTTTTATCACTGTGATCAGTTGAGGATGGTGGGAGTGGAGTACTACTAGCTACCATTCTTCCTTTCTAAATAAATGTTAAAATATCTTTTTTTTAACTATTCCCTTCCCTAGAATCACCACACGTTGGCATCCCTGTGGATTGATAACCTTTCTGCTTATAGATTGGTTAGAAAACACTGAAAAAAGTAAAGCTTTACACTGTACAACAATGTAGGAGTCTGACTTCACGGTCTCTCTTGTTCACACAAGGCATGGGAAGATGTATTTGAAATCCCAAGAAACGTATAGGGTATGTCTACACTGCAACCACACTAACTTTAATTTAGTTAGCTTGGGTCTCAGAGCAGTGAAACTGTGGCAGCATGGACTCCAGCATGGCCACCTGAGTAATTACCAGGGTTCTGGGAGGTTAGTGCAGTCCACTCTGAAACCCATGCTGCCATGGCTTCACTGTTTTGGTATCCAAACTAGCTAGATTAAAGCTAGCTTGGCTATGTCTCACGAGCTGCAATCGCACCCTGTGACATTCCCACAGAATATATGTTATAGGTTGGCTGTTATAATCTAAAATATTGCATATGGTGCATACTGTAATAAGACTATTAAATGCTTAAGAATTATTATGGTAACTCTCTGAAACATTTAACTTCTTATTATTGACTGATTCCCAAGCAATGGAGCTACCTGGTGCTAAAGATCTTTGATGTTTTAGGTTTTCCTTCTTCTCTAAAACACTCCTCTTATACACATGACATCTTTAATGGCTTAATTTGCAGTGATTAGCATAGCATATATGCGCATATTTACAAAGAATTGCTTTTAAATTTTAAAGATAAATTTTATCTTGAAATAGATGCACTCGTAGTAGACATTATGGTCAGCATGGAAAAGCTAAATCCATCCTCAAGTTTATAGAAATGCCTAGAAATTGTTTTAATTTGAAATCTTGGGAAAACAGAAAATCCCTCCTGTTCTCAAAACACACATACTGGCTGAAGTTGCCTTTTTTTTAATTGGTTAAACTTTTATCAATGAATAATCGTTATTCATCCAGCAATCTAATTATGGTTTGAAATAATTGTTGCACTAAATCAGTGTCACAGGATCAAAGGGTACTTGATAACAGAATTGTGAAGAGAACAGGAGTACTTGTGGCACCTTAGAGACTAACAAATTTATTTGAGCATAAGCTTTCATGGGCTACAGCCCACTTCATCGGATGCATGTAGTGGAAAATACAGTAGGAGGATATATATACACACAGAGAACATGAAACAATGGGTGTTACCATGCACACTATAAGGAGTTTGATCAGTTAAAGTGAGCTATTATCAGCAGCAGAGAAAAATAATAGCTCACCTTAACTGATCACTCTCCTTATAGTATGTATGGTAACACCCATTGTTTCATGTTTTCTGTGTGTGTATATATATATCTTCCTACTGTATTTTCCACTACATGCATCCAATGAAGTGGGCTGTAGCCCACGAAAGCTTATGCTCAAATAAAATGTGTTAGTCTCTAAGGTGCCACAAGTACTCCTGTTCTTTTTGCGGATACAGACTAACACTGCTGCTACTCTGAGAATTGTGAAGGAGAATCGTATAGGGCATGGGAACATAGTTAGGGGTAATGAGATAATGAAATTAAGAAAGGGAAAACTCTAACTGTGAATATGTGACATCTTGATAGTGCGATGTATCAAGGGGTGGAAGTTGTGGAAACTTTATCAGATGGGACATTTAACATTGGTCCAAACAAAACATGAGAAACCAATGGGGAACCAGTTCTGCACTGGCAGAGAGATGGACTGACCTAAGAGCTCTTTTCCATCTCTAGCATCTCTAAGAATGTTTGGATGAATACTTGGAATTCTCTATCTGCCTTCTTAGATCTTCTCTTGTGTTTAGTAGCAGGAGACCATTATCCTGTGACAGTGCTTGACTTCATTGACAGAAGATAGCTTAAGTTCCTGTGTTTCTCATTGAACAAAGTTACATTTTAGGATATATGGGACCGAAATATACCTGCTCCAGTTTAGCTACAGTAGATAAGTCAGGGAAGGCGTGGCAGGGGCACTTCCTATCCTGTGGAGCAATGTAATTTGGCTGGCCTCATGGGAAATTTCAAATGGTGAGAGGCAAGTATGACTTCATTAATCTCTGAGATTTTGAAAGCTCTTTAACCATTTGCACTTTGTGTCTTTCACAGACCATCTGAAAGGAGAGATAACCCAGCGGCACATGCAAAGGGCAGCTCTAGGTAAGAGCAGAATATTCTTGTATGAATAATAAATAGTGCATTTGGAAGAGAGGGCACTTCCCAGTGTTTACACGGAGTGTGAACATAATACATGCAACTGAGGCCAAACAAAACATTATGGTTTTTTTAGTTTTTGGATTATGAATTTTCTACAATAATTGATGCATTTTTCTCATATTGTGTAGAGCTGGGCAAAAATTTGCAGATGAATATTTTCCAAAAAAGCAGGTTTAGTAAACCCAAAACTAAAAAAAAATGGCAGGGGGGCTTGATTCACAAAATAAGAGGAGGACGTGGTAGTGGTGGTGGTGTCCCATCATAACTTTTGGCCAAATAGTTAGGGCACTCACTTGGGCTGTGGAGCAGGAACTTGAGTATCCCATATCCTAAGTGGATGCCCTAACCAAGAGGCTATAGGGTCATTCTCGCTTTGTCTCTTGCTCAATGACTTTTATAATATTTTATACAAAAAGTGGAACAGTTTCAACAGAAGAGACGGAGAGAGACCCACCTAAGAATAGCCTAGTTTTGTTGGGGCACTCACCTGGAAGGAGAGAGATGTGGGTTCAACCTGGGTCTTCCACATCCCAGATGAGTGCCCTAACCACTGAGCTAAAAGTTGTAAGAGGGACATCAGCGGCACTACCACTTCCTCCTGTTTTGTGAATCTAGCCATTTTAAAACATCTGGAAACAAAATGTTTTGGGGCAAACTACATGTTTCATTCAGTTTGAAACTGACTTTCATTCTTTCAGAATTCACATATTCGGTTCGACCCAAAACAATTTATTTTTATTTTTCAGAACTGCCAGCAAACTGAAAAATCCATTATTCTCCTGGCTCATATACTGTGTAAAGGCCACACATCCGATTTTCATGGCATCCATGAACATTGCCAAAGCTTTTACCAACATGGCAACTGACTTTATATGGGGTGACAGAAATGATGCAGAAACCGTGTAAATCATTTCTCCTAAAATATTAACCAGTAGTTTTACTGGTGCTAAAGCAGGAGCAAACAGATCCGAACCTTCTCAGTCCTTAGACCTTGTGCCTTCTGGGCCCCTCTTAGATCTGAACTTCAATTGGTTCTGGACTTCAGTTTGTTTTGAGACTGGGCATCAGTTTAGCCACACTTCCAGAGTCAGCCTGTGATACCTTCAAAGCCTCTTCATTCAGAGAGAGGTCCAGAGCTGAGACTCTGTCCTTCCTGGCAATGGGGAGCAGAACCAGTGCCAGACTGTGCTGCATCTTGTTAAATACCCCTTTCCCACATACTTAACGCAGTGGCTGTGCAGGTCAGTAACTAACATCTTGCTCTTGTAAGATAGACAGCATTTGAATCTGGTTTTCTTCCCAGATTCAAATGGCCCCTATCAGAAGCCAACCAGCTGATGGACTGACCTATATGCTAATGCAGTGATACAGTTTCACTTAATGCTACCCTGCTGTTCATATTTTAAAATAAAGCTAGACAAATATTAATAAACTATTTGCAAAATAATACACCGTGCATCTGCCAAAGTGACAAGGGGAGTGATAGTGAGCTCTGCCCTCTTTGCCTGCTGAAGTTAGAAGGAGCTGAGGGGAGTGGGGCTGTAACTCCTTATATAACTTCATACTAAATGTCCATTTTCATAAGGGAGCATGTGCATGGAACCAACAGTCACAGCTTTCCAGGGGGTTGTGACTGAGGTACCATAAGGTACTCTCTCTTGGCAATATTCCATCTCATATCCTTTCCTATTTTTTTTCCCTTTTTATAAAAATAAATTAAATGCAAAAATATTTTTCCAGAATATCTATGCTGTAGAACAAATCATTAAAAGCTAAAAAAAAAAAATAGCCAGACTAAGGCCCACTCTCCCTCAAGTTGCCCTGTTCAGTGCTTGGAATGCAAGCTAAGGATGGTATCATCAGTCTAAATTCTGATTTGTTTCTTTAATGCAATTCAAATAGACTTTTACGTATTTTAATTGTGCTCAGATCTATACAATATAAAATTAAAGACATGCCCTGCTCTAAAGATTTTACATTCTAAAGATCAGACACAGAGAAGAGGAGAAAACTCTAGGAAATCCAAAAGAGGAGATAATCTGAATCTATTATGCTGATTGGTTTGTCAAGTAAATACTTGGTACTCTTCTGCCACGTGAAACTACTCACGTGTGTAAGACGCAATGAACCAGATCCTCGGCTGATAAAAATCAAAGTATATTCACTGGGTCAAATCTTCAGGTGATGTACATTGACGTAGCTCCATTGATTTCAGTAGAACTACCTGAGCATCTGACTCAATATGTTGCATTTAAAGTTGTTCCAAGGTAAGCCGTGACACTGCTGTCTATGAGAATTCCTTATGCAGTGTTTCAAAGAAATAAAAAACGTGTACACTCCAACTGTGTGTTCCAGTGTGCATTGTAACATCTGGCCTTGTCTCAAACATTTAATGGCTCCTTATTGTACATAGAAAATAATGGGGAAAATACCATTTTAAATAACTATTTAACTGATTGTCATAAAAAAGGTAAGTATGGACTTTTTTTTAAAGGCCCCAGGGAAAAAGCACAGCACCGACTCTGCCAGCTACACATAGCATTGTGAATATTCCATCAATTTTCCTCAACGTAATGTGCAGCCCGTGTGTTTTGGCTTTTGTTTTGAACATTGCTGCATGCTTATCACTAAATCTGGACCACACAAAATATTTTCCAGACTTTTTTTCCTTCATTCATTGAGCCTTTTAAATATTCTGTGTATTTTGGCCTTATGTTTATTCTGTGAATTGGGGCACCTCATTTGCGTGCTTATCTTATTCCACGTATATTCTTCCAGAGAATAGCAGGTCTCAGCTCTCCTTGAATCTTTCTTGATGACCATAAATCCATCAAGAGCTTTTTGAAGGAAAACTGCTTGGTAGGAAGCCTCATTAAGAGTTGGTAGAAATCCCTATATAAAACAATACATACCATTTGAATTAGAATCCAAGTGTTAACATCTTCCAGCTGCCTCTTCTATTTTATTTTATTTTTTACTTAAAGCACTTTTATGATCAGAACTCTTTAAGGAGCTCTTTTAGTTGGATTTTAAACATTGATGATCTGTTTTCCCTAATAGGCTCACTTCAGATGTGGATTTCTCATTAAAGGAAACCTCCTTGCTCAGCCAATTGTTCTTAGCTGTCTCATCTTTTAAATCACCATTTTCTGCATATTGACAAAGCACTAAAAGAGTCAGATGGGGAGTTTCAGTGGAGACAAAGAACATCAGATTGTTCTGATCTTCTGGTTCTGTAAAGAAGAGACTGCATAAATTGCAAAAGGGCCTCATTCTGCCATCCTTACTAATACTCAGTAGGACTTTACCATGCAAATAATTCCATTCTTTTCAATAGGAACACTCAGAGTAGGGTATAACTAAGAATGACAAAGGGTGGCAGAATCAAGTCCAAAATGACCAGATTAACATTTTCTTTTCTCTTCTTCCATTCTTCCATTCTTCCTGCTTTCCTTTTTCCCTTTCCACTTCTCTCATCGGCATAAAAAACTACCTTTGCAAGCAGCATAAGCTATGTCGGTGGGATAAACTCTTATGTCGGTGTAACTACGCTTATGTCAGTGTAACTCATGTCACTCAGTGGGGTGGAATATTCACACCCTGAGCGACATAAATTTTGCCCACATAAGCTGGAGTGTAAATTTAGCCTCTGATGACTCCTTTTCCCCCTCCTATTCTCTTTTTTCCCTGTCTTTCTTTTCACCTTTTGCTCTTGTATTTTCTATCTCTCAAGCCTTCTACTGTCTTTCTCTGCTCTACTTTTTCACTCTCTGTTTCATGTTAAATCTCTATTTTTAGATCTGTCTCTTACACGTGGGTGCCTTTGTATGAGTGTACACAGGATTACAGTCCTAAGGTAGCACAATCTAGTATGGGACACTAGTATGCTTCTATTACTACAGAAAAAGGAAAAGCATTCCCCTGAGTTTGCTGTGCTGTAGAAGGCATAGGTACATCTGATGTGATTCAGTGGGCAGTAGTATCACAAGATGCTATCAAATGAAATTCCAGTAAAATATAGAGTCTCATTCTCCACTATGTTACTCTGGTTTTATATAGCTGTAACTCCCTTGAAGTCAATAAAACCATTGGAGTTGCATTAACATAAAGCTGGAGTAACACAGAGATTCAAGCCCATAGTGACTTATAAAAGCCACAGTGAAACTAGATAATCTTTTAGTCTGTTTATCCAAGATGTTGCAGGTGAAACAATTATAAATAGTGAGCAATGTCAGTTAATGCACAGCCGCTATGAAATAAGTGCTGTCGTCTAACCTGACCTTTTCTGCACGTAAATTTCCTCTTTTTTTTTTTAAGTCTTGGTACAACTTATACTAGTAAAAACACCAGTTTCCCAGTGCTTTCTATCACAGTTCAGGGTAGCTGCACCTGTATTCCCCCCTGTGGTTCAGCAAGAGCACCCACTCTCAGCTTCCAGCTCCCCAGCCATTGCCTCTTTGGGAGGAGATACCAATCTCTTTCCTGTCTGACTGGGGTATTTCCAGGCTGAACAGTTCCTTGACTATACTGTGATCTCCACAGCAAAAGACAGACTGCCTATGCAGGCCTTCTTCATTTCTTTCCTCAGAGATAGGACACAGCATAATTGTCACAGTTAAGTTACCATACAGCCCTTTACAAGCAAGTACATTTATTCTTAAGACGGGAGCACTGGAACCTTGGTAGAAGTCGGAGGGCCATGAGGTCCTGCTCCTCTCTGTGGCCTCACTCCCTGGTCCTCCTCTTCCCCCCTGAAACTCCACCCCTTGGCCGGGTTGGAAGCCAGAGCTGGGCCAAGGTAAGAGCCACCCAGGGATCCCAGGCCACTCTGCCCTGGGCAGGGAGCCTGAGGGCAGCCCCAGCCTATGTCCCTGCCCCCGGGGTGTGCTTTCCAGGGCAGGTGGAGAGTCTGGGGCTGCCCACAGTGGCCCGGACTCCCTAGG